TTACACATTTTCCGGGGCTACAATATAAAGGCTTGGTTAGGATGCAGGCTCCACTTCAATACCTTTCACTCAGGCGTGGCTAGCTGCTGGTTCCTCTGCACACAGGTCCCTTTCCATCAGAAAAGAGACTTCTCATGGCATGGCACTAGCTTCTGTAGAGCAAGTGACAAAAAAACCAAGATGCAACCTCTAATAATTTTTATTATTTGGCCATGAAAGTCACCTAATTCTGTGACTTTTGTAATAATCTACCATTAAATATGTCAGCATAGATTCAGTGTGAGAGAGAACTACACAAAGTCATTAATACTGAGATGTATGTAAAGGATGAATTACAATGTGAAGATTTATGACCATCTTAGACGCTGATGGCTGATTTCATCCTGTGATCCACAAAGATTCACACCCCTTCCTTGTGTGAAGTACATGCTCCTGTCCCAAAGGCTTCCAAACTTGCATTCCATTAGAAGACCTGTTGGAAACCCAGGGCCTTATCTTTGAGTCACGTTAGCCCAGATGAAGCTCCTGAGGAGTCCAAGAGGAAATGAAGCCCTGTGGGTTCTTGCTGCTCAAGGGCAGCCCCTCTGGGTAGTTTCATGCCATCCAATAGCCATGTCAGAGTGGTAGGATTTGTGTGGAGAGACTAGTTTAGAGAGTCTGGTTCCAAAAAGGAAAGATACTCGTGAAGAAGCCACGGGTCCATCAGTTGTGAAATCCAGTTGGGCACGTTGAAAATTTCTTCATTAGGACTCAATCTTTCTGTTTCTATGGAATTATTCTCCATGATCCTTGGCTCTGCACTTCGGATTCTTAGTTCTGCTGCTCTGAATCACCTTCTCTTTTTAAATAAAAGGTAAACTCTGTTTAAAGCTAGATAGATGCATACCCATAAAGTTTGGGAGGTCAAAGGTCTATTTTGCATCATTTCCGCCCTTTCTCGTACAATCTGGTGGCGCTATCACTAGTATAGTTCCCTTAAAAATAGATGACATTTTTATGGATGTTATGCAAGTTTATTGTTTTTAATAAAAATATATATTTATAATCACATAAAGGTAAGGTCCCTGTCCCCTTGAGTTTCTGATCTACAGAAGAAAACACCTTTAAGAAAACGACAACTTTTGTTGTTTAATGATAAGTTCTGGGCACACAGGTTAGCTTTTTAGAGTAGCTTTCATTTCACTGAATTTTTAAAATGTAATTTAATGGGTTTTTTTGCACTCTTAACATAGATTGTCTAGTCATGTCTTTTTAGACCTTATCTGGAAGTGATTTCTTAATTATTTTTACTACCTGCATAGACTATATTTGGGATAACATTTTACACTAAAATCCATCAAGTCATAACTTCTTTATATTTATCAGGTTCTCTTTAGGTTTTGTGTCTTTGATTTCTCTTTTAGCATAAGCAAAAAGAAGACACAGTACCAAACAGCATCATCAGCTCTTTGCTTGGAAATGGCTCAGCTAGATTATATAATTTATTAAGGACATCATTTCTTTCATATTATCATTTAGACAGCAATTTAAATTTTCCCCACAATATAGCAAGCATCCAATTTTTTTTCCCTTTCCAATAACATTTTTCTTACTTTCCTTTAAGCCATTACTGACCATCTCCACAAGAATGATTAGGCTTCTGGCCAACAGTTCCTTATTTTCACATCCCAATATCTATATCATGCAGGAGTCACTCTGCAAACTGACCTAGGGAGTATGACAGATCATAAAAGAGAAAGAAACAATTTTCCAGACAAAGGAGCTCAGGGGGATCCCATCTCAAGGAAACAAGAGCATTAGGAGTCTAGAAGTTCCCATTAATGTTAATAAAACAAGGGAATATAGCAAAGTTGCAATGAACCAATTCAGGGTTCAAAAAAACACAAATGATTAACAGAGAACACAACAACCTAACACCCAGCTATGTAATGCTTTTTGCTTAGCCCTGCACTGATCTTATCCTGGCCTGGGGGTACTGTGAGCATCAGCATCATTCCTGTACACACACACGGGAGGGGGCAGCATTCCACCCCCTCTCCTGTCCCAGGAAAAGTTAACAAGGCTTTGGTCTCTGTGACAGATCACATGGCCCAGTCTCCCAAAATATCACAGCCACATTTTTAGGTTTCTATTAAACTTATCTTCCAGTATCAATTTATTTATTTATTTATTATCTATTGTCATGTAATAACTCTTGCAGAGTTGTGCAACTGTCTTGCAGCAAATTGACAACCATGATAATTTTTCTTCGCTTCTCATGGTGTCCCCACAAACCTACTCAAGGTCATGACATGGTTGTGACTTTCCAGAGAGAAAACCACACACCATGTTCAAATCAGCCTTGGAAAACACTATCAGCTCCACCACCAGCTAGTCAGTTTTCTATTGTCCTCCAAGGACAGCCTTAGTTAATGGTGACAGGGAACTATAGAAGGATGCAGATATCAGTAGGCAAGCATTAAAGGAAATCCCATTGGAATTTTAGGGCAATCTAAGAGGAGAAAAAGAAAAACCTAAATTTTAGTGGATACTTAGTATTTTGTTCTATTAGTATCTTTTCTTAGACTATGTCTCGTGTCAGAAAATGAAAAGCTATGAGGACTTCAAACTGAAAGTATCAAGACCAAACATAGCATTGCAATGAATGACTGATGAAGTCTTGTTTTATGAAGTTAATTGCACCCAATTTGTTGTGATCAGTGTTTATGCAGCTGCTTTGCCTCAGAGAAGTTCTTATCTCACAAGTAGATCTACTCATTTTGATGTCTTTCAGAGTCGGTAGGGGATATTCAGAGACACTCGAGTATTCACAAAAGCGGAGCTAAATGGTAGTCTTGTTATGAGTGGTCAATAAAGTTACAGCTGGGTGTTTTCTCTCTGCTAAGTTTAGACATTAAATCCCATTCAGCTTCATCTTGATTAAACAATTGGAAATCATATGTGTGCATACAGCTATTCTAAATAGAACACTTATCCAAGATCAGCATTTTCCTAAAGGGCTAAGTCAATGCAAATAAAAATGTAGGTTAGAAAAAATGCACACACACACACACACACACACACACACACACACACACACACTCAGAAAGCCACAAATCATGTATTCATATTGAAATAGAGCCTCTAATTTTTAAATCAGTAAAGTTAATTTGAATGTAATCCTATTTTTATACGGTACTGCATTGATAGAATACAGAATACATTTCTGTGATTAAATCTTTAAGGAGGTTCGGGTGACAGTTACTGGGTTTTAAATATTATAACCCATTAATGAAGAGAGAAAAGAGAATTTTAATCACATTGAAGTACATTGGTGACGTGCACTGGTCAAAAATAATGAGACAATTTAAAAATCTCTTAATGCACAGTTTCTATTTTAATTAAAATTTACTTTTATCCTTTTAAGTACCATATGTTCATTCTAACCCCTTCTGTATAAGTTGGCTTTCACTACAGATAGAATATTAGATTATGTTAATTTCTTAATAACTTCAGATCTCTAAGCACATTAATTGGTACGTTTTAAATTTGCTTGGTAGACAAATTTTGTGTGAAGAACATATGAAAACAAGAAGCTTTGGGGATTTCTTGGAATCTAGAAATGTCATTCCCTTATGACCCACAGATTTTCTATGCATAAGAACTACATATACTTTTATATTGAAAAAGTATAGTAGTAATTGATTACATACATTTTTCTGTTTAAAAATTATAATAGTAATTGATTGGTGGTCATATTTTGAACTTGCTTAGCAATAAAACTTTTCTTGTGTGATGTCACACATAGTATATGTACGTTCTATTTCCTGATAGAATCAGAAACAGTATTTATTATGGGTTTATTTTCTTTGTTTCTCCCTTTTATATTTTACTCCATCACTTGTCATTTATGCAGCTGTTCCATCTTAGATACCTTCTCTAAGAAGGATATTTAAAGCAGAGCACTTAATGGTATGTCTGATTTTTCTTCATAATGCTCCTTTGGGTTTTATAATTTGAGAAAGTATTTGTGACCCAAATATCTCTTTGGATTGCATTAAATGTTGACTCATCAAAAGGTTATTCTTACTACTCATGGTGGGAAGTGCAGCTTTTTACAACTGACTAAAAGGCCTAAGTCTGTTAGGAAAAATGAAAGCATGTATTGGAAGTACACAGGAAAGGAAGTCATGGTGTGAGTGGAATCTAGGTTTCTATGTGTTCATAAGTAGGGCAAACTCAAGACAGGACATTGCCTTAGTCAATTTCTCACTAATGAGACAAAATTCCCAACCAACCGGAGTTAAAGGAGGAAAGGAAAGGTTTATTTAGGCTCATAGTCTGTAGAGATTCCAGTACATAGCTAACTGGCTCCAAGGCAGGGCAACATGGCAGAGAGCATTGCTTAGGAGAAACAGTGCATGGCAAAGTAGGGCAAGGAGAAGGCAGCTGAAGCAGCAAAATTCTTCCTTCTTTCGGTTGCTGTATCCATCCACACTACTTGCCTTTTGGTTAGTATCAGTGATAGCTAGTTAGTTTTCCCATTATCTAAACCCAGAAGAACACCCAACCAAACAGTGGACTAATTTAGTAATCACCAAACCTTACCACACCATCATATACTTAATCACAGCATCACACATCCTAGATCCTGCCACCTCTGAACAGCCCCACATGACTGCATGAGGTTTGGGGGGACATCTAGACACAAGCCACAACAGATATGTAACAATGGACCTCAGACAGGCTGAGAAAACTGTCACAGAGAACACTGGGCTGATAGTAGATCCTAGGGACAGAAATTCACCAAGTAATCCTTCACAGTTAACCCAGACTTCTTCACCTGAAATAATCTCACATGCTCAAAAGACTTCAAGTCCTCTATGACAAACACAATACCCGCAAGAACAAAGAAATGAAGCAATTGACTATTATGTCTGACACCAGTTAAATATTCATAAGAATTTTCATGATGTTTGCTGGACAGTGATTTTACAACTTCCATTTCTTCTGTTTCACAGGTTTTCTGAACCAGATGAGTAACTCAAGTCACTCTGTTCTTCAGCCTTCGTTTCAAGGATGCATGCAGCTCATCCAAGTGGACGATCAGCTTGTAAATTTATATGAAGTGGCACAGAGAAAGCCAGGAAGCTTTGCCAACGTCAGCATTGACATGTGTGCCATCATAGACAGGTAAACACGCTGTTCTTCCTGTCTTGGGGTGTCCAGCCTTTACAAATTCATGTCGGGACAAACAAAACATCCAAAAGAGAGAAACAATAGTGACAACAACAACAAAAACTAACTGGTTGGGTTTGCCAATTACAGTGAAATTAACTGTGACATTTGCAGAGAATATATGATGTCCCAGGGTAGTGATATATTAGTTCATCAATCTTTAGTGAATGTGAGGATTGTGCAAATAGTTTTTGCAAACAACAGCTGAGTGACAGTGGGACTCTGACAGTAGTTTTATCTCCTGTGCCCATAAGCAAAAGTAATTCTTTTCTCCTCATCTGGATCATGCCTGGACATCAGTACACTGTACTTTCCAAAGCTATTTTGGAAAAATAAGAAATGTTCTTATATTTTGGAAGAAAAAGAAATATTATCAGGTATTTGTTTGCAAGTGGTGATTTACAGACAGAGATCATTTAGAATAATTACTCCTTGCAACTACAAAATCTATTTTATTAGATTTGCTTTTCATAAAGACTTTAACTGAATTCTCACAAGATAGAAAGATACAATTTTCATATGGAATATTATGATTGTACTGCACACACTATCTTAGCATACTTCTAAAATGCCTTTTTTTTACAACATTAAGCATTTTCAATACAGGATATCTTGTCTATAAAGAAACTTTATCTAACTAAGAGATAAAGCTAACCTAGTGAGTTAACATGACTTTCTAAGCTGTTTTCAATTATTTTGAGAAAGGACTATCTTACTCTGAAAAATAGTTTCATCAATATTATATTTGGAAGCAAATGCTCATTAAAATATTTAATTATAAATATGATATTCCTTTTATTCAGTCTGCCCCCCGGAAAATGCAGACCTTAAGTCAGAATGAATCTGAAGTGGAAGTCCTAAGGAAGTCATTTAAAAACATAAAACAAGTGATAGACTTCCTTTCATGTCAGTAGCTTTAAGGAGACAAGAATTCCTGCCATTAATGCTTCAAGTCCCCTCATTCAGCTTTGCAACCAGGCTAGATGCTATTTTGAAATTTTACTACAACAAGTACACTCGCTGGCCATTACCTTTAAATAATTTGAAATGAGATTTTAATTTTCAATTTGAATGGAAATAGGAGTTGAATTAACTAAAAAATAACTTACAGAGATTTTGGTAAATGAAGAGAAGATGACTCCAGCTCCACTCACCCTCACCCCATGAGGAAACCAACGTAAAGAATATATAGGACAGAAAACAGGAATTACATATACATGTGTGTGTGTGTTTATATATATATATATATATAATGTTTTTACAGATTACTCAATCTTAGTGATGTCCACGTTGCCAGGTCTGCTATAACAAGACAGCACAAGGTGTAATCTCTCCTATCCTTTAGAATGACAGCCTAGATTAACTGCAGGGAAGAAATCACCTCTCACCCAACCCTGCGTATTTTCTGTACCCACTGTGGATGCTATTTTCTTCCTGTAACATTGTTTTCAGGGCAACAGCTTCTGCACATTAATTATCAGTAAGTGAGATTCGTCTCCTTCATCATTTAAAATGTTCCTAGTTCAAAATCTTAAGATGTGAAATGCTGTACTTTTCTCTATATAATACATTGTGTATTATCGACTTTACTCAGTTCCATTGAAAAGCTTGCTGGTACTGTGTCCTTTAATCTGCATTTCACCTGTCTTCTTATAGCCGTGGCCCGTTAAGATAATCTTTAAATATTTGCAGAGACACACTATAGCATATCTCCTTACTAACTTCACAGCTGCCCAGCATCGAACACTTCCAGTGTTCCCTAAAGAAGCTTACTCTTTCTAACTTTACTTTTCTGCTTTCAAATTCCAGCTTGATTTGAGAGTTATTTTTAAGGGAGAAAAAAAAATGATAAATGAGAACATAGAGTAAAAAAATAACCGCTATGACAGGCTGGCTTTTTATAATACATTTAGAGATAATAAGAGCAGCTGCAATGATTTGATGACTAGGATGTAGGAAAATCATGGGAGAAGATGATTCCAAAAGTGTTTTTCTGTGTGTCACATTGGAATACCCTGTGATTTTTGCTTCTTTTTCTTTCTTTGTGTATGCATCTTCACATGGCTTGTTTTGCTTACTAGTTTGCTTTCTGGACTCTTCACATAGTAGTGAATCAAAGAAAAAGCAAGTACACCAAACTACAGAATGAGGCATTTGATACTTATTTGCTAAGTGGATGCTAACATAACAGGTACTGTTCTAGGCACTGGAAACAGACTACTTCACAAAGCAAAGTTCTGTGAACATTTGATGCTCACATTCTAAGGTAAAGGGAAGCAGGGCAGAAGCAAAACTTCAAATATAATATAAAGACCAGTACATTAGAGGAAATAAATATTGTAGAAAAAAAGATGGCAGGTCAGAAGATCAAAATGTTAGGTTGTTGTTTACACTGATTGGTCAAAATGAGTTTCATTGAAAAGCTAGTGAAAGACCTAAAAAAAAAATGCATGATTTGGCCAAAGAGCACTCTAGGCAGAGATAATAGTGGGCTCAGAGAGGCTGCCTCTCATGCCACAGATTCAGCAGAGAAGTCTCAGGGTAAAGCTTGGAAGGGCAACAAAAGCAGAAGGAAAGGGAACCAGAATGGTCCTAGTGGTCGGGTCCTAGAGACATGTAGCTTGCGGTCAGGATTTTGCTTTCATTCTGAGGGTATTAGAGACCCACTGCAGGGCTCTCTAATGCCCTCAGAGTACAGCAGTGATGCCACACAGTTTGCATTTCAGCGATGAATAGGGCTGTGGGGAGCGGAGAGGCAGCAGCAGGTAGTCTAATTAGAGGGATGTTCTCATTTATCATCCAGGGAGAAATGCCAGTAGCGGCCTCCAAGGAGCTTGCACAAGGGAAGGGAAATGGGTTAGGTCTAAATGTGTGTGGGAGGCAGTGAGTAGGATTGCATGATGGGTTAGGTGTAGGGTGGGAGAAAAGGACAAGCAATGAGAACACCTCCACACTACTTGGTAAGCTCAGCTGGAAGGAAGGACTTGCCATTTCCTCAGACGAGGACAGCTGGAACTAAAGATTAATCAAAGGGAGTGGGAAAAGGACAACATGTGAGAGTGAAATGTCTATTGGAAATCTAAGTAGCAATGTCAAGGAGATAGCTGGGCAAGATGCACAGGAAAATCAGCAAGAGTGTACAAAAGTGCACCCTAGAGGACCAGAACAGGCCAGATGAAAAGGTCAGAGCACCGTGAGGGCAAGAGAGAAGGGGTCTTTTCAATCTAAAATCCTCTGGTCAGCTTTCTTCTTGTGTAAATAAGTCATGGAAACATTTGTCTTATCAAAAATTTGCTGAGCACCATGCCAACTATAAACTGTCCTATCAGAAAACTTGTTTGTCACCAGAGCTAAATAAGTAAGTGTCTTTTCATTGGTTGTGTCCACATTCAAATAAAAGGTTGAAAATAACACTGTTCTCCTTGGTTCACAGAGGTCAGCCATAAGCTCACAACCCTTTTTGATCCTGTGATTTGTGCATTTCCTTTTATGGGAGGAGGAAACATCTCCGTCAATCTGTTAGCCATGGTTTTATGAAGTTTGACACACACTCAGCCTAGTCAGTTGTCTGGCTTTCCCTTAATTGCCTACCTCACTAATGCCCTTACATCAGTGGCTGCTGGAGGCAAATGTCTTTGTGCACCTGACCCACATGTGGTTCTCAAACATTTTATCTGACCTTGGTAAGGGTGTGAAAACTTGAGACCAAGAACTTTCAGAAACACTTCTGGAACTCAAATTAGGTTCATATACCTCTCCCTCTCCCCTAGGGAGAGCCACAGAAAAGTCATCAGCCATTTCAACATGAAGGAGTGGAGAAGAGGAGGCAGCGAAGAGACAGGCAAGAATGATGGGACTTGAGCCATGGAGAGTCCTGCAGCATTGGTCAGAATTTGGGAAATTTGCGGCATTACTTAGAACTTTTGGACACATGTGGAGCTCCTTTTGTTTTGTTTTCTGCCATCTCATCCAGGACCATCCATAATCATCCAATTGGTGATTAGCGCACAGGGCTCAGCCAGAGTAATCAGTTTTGTATGTGACAGCAAGCTTCATTCTGCAAGTTGTGGTTTCTGTTTCGAGCCTGAGGCCAGCCTTCCCAGCTTTGCGAGTGGTCAGAGGAATGTGTTCTCTTCATCACAGACAGGAATGGAGAGTGGCACAGTCCCTGGAGTGGACAGCCCTGACTCCTGGGAGATAATCAGAAGCAGGCTGTGCAGGTCTCAGGAAACACTGTTTTCCAAGGACACATGTGGTCTCTTTCCTTCCACCCATTGATTTAAAATCACTCAGGACACATAGGGCTTTACAGTCAGGAGCATACACTCCAAGCAGCCACCTTCTCTGATTTCTATAAGAAAAGAACTTAGTCCTTATTTACTCAGCATGAATTAAATTCTTTTGCTCTTCTTGGAACCAAAAGCATCTGTCCTTTCCCATCTTCCACTTCTAAAATCTATCCAGTGACATCTTTTTACTGGAACACAAGAGGGACAAATTTCACAAGGACAGAAATGACTTTGAAAGAAACAGTTGCCTTCCAGAGGTCCCCTAAAGACTGGTACTTTGGGATTGATGCAATTTAAAGGCCAAATTTTTTACAATTTGCACCTGTCTTCTAACAGGACCATAAAATCCAGTAAAAATATCTCATTAGAATTAGAATTTTTTTTTATTCTTTTCTGTGCTTATAAATATATTATGAAACAAAACTAGCAAACATTCTAGATAGCACAAAGTATGGAAAAGGAAAAATAAATACCCAAATTTAAACATAGCCTACAAAATTACCCCCTGAGAAACTGAATGGCAAGAATCCTATTGCTAAGTTAGTAATTAAGCATTCATTATATTTTTGGATGGAAGTGAATAATCACAACCCCAGTGTTTATTTTTTAACTCAAAGCTTTTTCAAGAACATCCATGCAGTTTCTTCTCTTTTTTTTTTTTTTTCT